TGGGTCCCCTGTTATCTTCCCTGTTCTTTTGAACAAGGACCTCAAACTCATTTCCCGATCCCTCAGATTTCTCTCCGTTTGTAGTCTCATACCACGGGAACATCTAGTAGAGTTTGTGGTGACACATCACTTCAAGTCCTGTAGAACATTCTCTAATAAGTTTGTATCTGATATCTCCCATCCTCTTTATTCCTCTCTTAGCGACTGCCTTTCTCACTCATCCACCCGTTCCACTCACAAACTCATAAAGACTCGCACTGAAGCTTAGAGGCGGTCTGTTGTTCCTTATCTCGCCAGATTTCTAACAAACCAAGACCTCGTTACGGGAAATCTGCATCAAACACTACACTAAATCCCTCATGAACAGCCAGGTGTGCCACTCATTTTGGATGTTGCTGTCCCTTTTCACATCCTTTTGAACTGCTGAATCATACTATTGTGTTTTACGTATTTTTTGACACACTATGGTTATGAGGTTGTTGAATATCCACCTCTCGGGGTGTATAAAGCCATTCCTTGACTTGACTCTCCAGCGCAATCAGGCTACACTTCTCGTGCTTTTAGGGGAACAATATATTTCCCTTTGACTAACTGATTTTTGTCCTTGATATCTATCGGGTCATCGGGAATCACGGGATATTAGAGACCAGATCGCTTCCACAGGTCATGAGACAGCATCTCCATCTCTAGACTGTGTCTGTTCCATTTTTCTGGTTACTGTTGCGTATTGTTGGGAATTTTTGTCTTCAGTAACTACTCGTGGTATTTTTTCCATGAATATTGTGATGAAAAGTGTTTCTGGGATTGATCATTTTTTACTGCATCAATTGTGCTTTTATTATTGGTCCGTATAAGACATTTTTTGCAAACCGGACAGAGACAATCTGAGTGGTTGAAGTTTATACATAAATGTCTGTGATTCTCTTCCCAAATGTGATTTGTGTCCGGTGCACCTAAAAGATATACCGAGAGCACTTCCTGAAGAGACGACTTTTGACATGGTGGCAGAGGAAACTGATGCAAAAGTCCCAATGCTGGACGGACTGAATAGTCGACTGCAGATCCAGCCGCTGGCGTATCTGACTACGGAGGAGACGTGGTGGTTGACTGAAAACTCGAGACTGTGGCGAACGTAGTGTACAGACCTTCGTGCACTAACAGATAAACCGCAAATCCAGTTCCGTACAATTGGCTTTGTTCCGTCACACTGTTGGTCTGGTGGCTGTGCGCGTTAAAAATGGATTCACAAACAGTCCGGATGAGGACCGTGCAGATTGGCAGGTGGTGATGGTGTAGATAGAGCGGTACTGTCTTGGCGAATCTAGCGATACTTGTGAGTGCTACATTTTCAACCAGAGACAGCAATATCGAGCACCAAAGAGATTACATTCGATGCTAATACGTCTACAGAAGTACAATTATGAGTTGCGTTACGAACAAGGTAAACGCATGTTTGTGGTGGACACTTTATCACGAGCCACACTGCCCGACACAGAACAGGAACAAAATTTGGAATCCATGATTGGCGATGATGCAGCTCGAGCTGTCTCACATACGAAATGCTATTCGATAGTTTGTTAATGCCGTGTCGTTGAATTTTGCCAGATCATTCGTTTTGTTGACGTTTTGGGATTCGATTTTGGCTACGCGTTGCTCTTTGGTCAATTGGGGAGACACATCCCTTACCAAATGTGATTTGTGTCCGGTGCACTGTAATGTATGACACTAACCTCGACAAATTCCTTGTACACTTTAAATGCATTGAATATGTATAGTGTACAATTCGAATAAACTCCTTGTGCTATTCCATGCAAAGCTGTTCTATTTCGGGATCGGTATTGCGCGAATTCCGAAACTCCGTTTCGAATACTATTCACAATACTACATTTGGCGTCGCGGCCGATTTATTGAACAGTGAATTCTACTCCATTATAATCCCTAGATCTTAACTGCAGTGCACACGATATCGAGGATTATTTTGAACGTTTTGAGATTGGGTGGCTGACTGTGACTGTGACTCGTTCAAAGCCCAATGAGGAAAAGAAATCCGCTTTCTTTTTGAAAGCTGCCGGCTAAAAGTGCTTATGATCTAACCAAAAACTTGGCTTATCCTTCTCCACCTGTTTCCGTAGCGTCCGATGATTTAAAACCCCTTCTTCTACGGAATGTGAAGCCGGCAATTTTTAAAGCCTCGTAAAGGACAAAATTTCATTCAATGGTACGCATATGAGCCAGGGCATCCATGAATTCATTTTGGATTTGCTCACACAAGCTGCAAAGTGTGATTTTGGAGACTTACTGGATATGTAGTTCAGAGATCGATTGATCGCTGGCGTTAAAAATATTGCTTTGCAAAATGAACTTCTAAAACTATCCAATCCTACGTTCAAGGATGTGCGGACCCGTTATGAACATCAGGACATTCGCGCCACTACTTTATCCATGCCGTTGACCATCGAATTTACAGCCATGTTCTATTCACTCATAACTAAATCCAAGAAAGTTCATGCTACAGCCGGACGTTTCAAACCAGTTACTCAATCAAGCTCACACAATGTGACATATTCGGATCAATCCTATGGCGTTGTGTACCCTGTGGCAAACGTCATTCTAGATTCACACGTCGATTTCGTTACACTTCATGTCAAAAGTGTGGCAAAAGTGGTCACATTCAGTATGTGTGCCGCAGTACCAAGACTTGTCATTTAATTCAATCCAAGGACTCAGAAGCGAATGACAGACAAATATTTTTCTTAATCTTTGGCAGTTACCTCTCATTCTGGTGGCACTCGTAAACAACCATTCAGTTCCTCTGCTAATTCACTTGCTTTCATTTTTGACACTGGTAGTGTGGAATCTCTATTTACTGTTCACGATTAAAAACTATTTGCTCCAGATGCTAAACTACAACCGCTGTCACCATAAATGGTAGCACTGGGCACACGTTGCCTGTTGATAATTTTTGTGAGATTTCAGTCAGTGATAAGCATTCTAAAAGTGCTACCTGTACAGTCATCGCAACCAAATCAGGCCCCTCCATGCTAGACTTGAAGCAATGCAAGCATTTGTAGTGACTATGATTGTAAGAAGAAAAGCAGCAATCCACGAGGACGTTTTCCGTTCATATTTTCTTCACAATCAACTCTGACTCCAACTGTGATATTTTCTTTGGTTTACTTCTGTTTGTTTTACCGAGCACGGTTTTCCGCTCAGGTGTATATATAAGCTGGGTCCTGTTCAAACCCACGCGACACGTGTGACACGCTATCGCTTTGCTACTGCATTTATTGCTTGCATTGTTTAGCGTCACCTTGGCACGTTTCGGTACTATCTAGTACCACGATTCGCCAATAAAGGTCTACGACTCCCACGAGTGTTTTTGTCTACTTCGGGCAACGAGACACTAGGAGATCGCGCGCATTTTGAGACTCGTAAGAAGACTTACCAGCAGGCCTTCAACTCCGCTTAGCTCCACAACTACGAGTTCCTTCAAAAACATTTATTCAGCAGGCTGTCCAAGGTAGAGATAAGCTTGGAAGGGACCCGAGGATCGAACGGTTAGCCAAGGTTAGTGGGTAGGTGTCGTAGTCTTCTAAGACGTTCACCATGAAGGTTTCCATTCCGCTTCTTGAGCTTTTAGATTCAAGAAGTGTATAAGGAGAGACGACCTTGGTGATGAATCACAAAATGGATATAAGTTATGACGTGACAGATTTAGTTTTGGATACGTTACATTACTTTTATCAAGTATTCACCGAGATCAAGGTCGGTTCCACTTCTCGACGTTTGAGATTCGGGAAGTGTACTTTGCATGTGAGGACAATAGAATACAGTGTAGATTCTTCGTAATGTTTAATAATCTAGCACGCTTTCAAACGCTTGCGATGCGTTGTTGGTTGTGCATTTCGTTGATTTTAGTTACACTAAGAAATTTGCAAATTAGATTCTTAAATCTGTAGCTAGGTGTCGTCCGTCTTATTTCGACTGGAAGTTTATTCCATCGGCGTGATTCCTAAGAAAACTTTCCTGTGGCAGTAGTTCTGTTGTTTGGTATTGGAAGAACGTTTTTATGGTTCCGAATGGGATATGGCGGATTAATTTTAATCGTATTGCGTCTATAGAATGGGTATTCCCATACAGAAAACTGTGCAGCACAGAAATAACACGTTTAGCAAGACGTAACCATAGGGTTTCAATCTTTAAAAAGAGACATCTTTCCATGTAGCTTAACTCAGTGGACCATCCAAGGATTTGTTTTGTAAATCTTCGCTGGATGTTCTCCATGGCTACTCCATCTAGCTTTTTCATACTAGAGTATGCCATTGAATAAAACTCTGACAAGTGTCTGGTGTGGGATTTATATAAGGTGAGTATGCTCTCCCAGAGGCTAAAACTTCTTAAGAATAGGTTTACTGTTAGTTTGACCTTGGATACTTGCAAAGCGCAGTGCTCCGAGAAGTTAAGAGTAGAAGAGTAATTTATTCCAAGGTCACAAACAGAAGATGAACGAGCAATAGGGGTACCATCAATGGTGAAGGAACCTGGAGGCACTTGACATAGATAGGTTAATAGGTTTGACTTCTTTGCAGACAAAGTCATTGACCACTTGGAACACCAATGATCGAGCGCCAGAAGGTCTGATCAGATATCGTCCAGGGCTTCTATAAACGTATTAGGTGGGAAGGAGAAGATAACTTCAATTTCATCTGCAAAGAGGAACGAGGTCCCAGAATGAATGGCTTTGGAAATATCATTTATATACATAAGGAATAATAAGGGGGTTAATACGCTACCTTTTATTACGCCACTGGAAACGGTTTGGGGTTGGGAGGAAAAATTATCAATCAAAACCACCTGGAAGCGGTCCGATAAGTAAAAAGAGAGCCATGAGAGGAGCGGGTCATCTATCCCATAAGATCGTGCTTTGGGAATGAGCCATAGGTGGGAGACTCTGTCAAAGGTTTTGGACATATCTAGATATACTACAATCTACGCTTTACCGGTGTCAATGGTTTTATTAGGCTTTAAGAAATCAAATTTGCATGTTTGACAAGAGCGAAATTTTTGAAAGCCATGTTGGCTATTACTAAGTAGGTTTGCAGTAAGAAGATAGACAGATAGCCGCTGTTTTGTAATCTTTTCCATTATTCGGGAGATAATGGGTAGGTGGCTGATGAGACGGTAGTTAGTAGGATTCTGAGTAGGCCCGCTTTTGTGCAGTGGGATAATGGTAGATTTTTTCCATTTAGATGGTACAATGCCACCAATCAGAGACGTTAAATAGTTTTACCTGGATGACGGGCATATTAGGTCCCCAAAGCGTATACTACTTGTGGGTAGTCTACCATGTCCCGGATGAGAGGAAGACTTTGTTACATTGAGAATGCGAGCAATATCTTTGATGGTAATGCGAATGACATTTAAAGGTTCAGTTGTGGACGATGGAATGCTAGTGGTTGTGGGAATTGAATCGTTGGTGAACGGGGAGGTAAAGACGAAATTTAGG